CCTTCGACGCCCCAGTGCACCCCCGTCGCTTCTTATGGACCTCCGTCTCTTATGATCGTCAGTCTGAGCAAATGCTTGTGGGTCAATTTTTTCTAGGACGTTGTTTGTTAAAGTCAGGAAGAGTAGTGAAGTCAAGGTGATCCGCTGTGAGACTTTCGATGTTGAGACCCTCTAGTCCACAGGCATTTCATGTGCCTTGATACGGAGCATCCAGTTCTACAGGCGACTCTGGAACCAGGATAGAAGTGAGTCAGTGAGACTCGTCTTCGCGACTTTTTGGGTACTGTGTTTAAATCTTCTCCGAATCCATAAATATGGTTTAGATTAGTACCTTTCCGCTCTGGAAAGTTCTCAGGCTGCACAGTCCTAGAAGAAGGCCAGATGCTCAAGACTTGTCTTCTCTAAATCCGTGTCATGTCTCGCAACTGATCTTGTTTTTTAAGGCACAACAGTAAAACAGACCAGAATACACTCAAGTTTCAGTGGACCTCGATCAAACACTCGCAACACAGGAAACTACGAAGATAGTCATGGTGACTGTGTAGCAATCAACGTTAGTTGATTAAGATCTAGTCTATGACCTCCTACTAAGATTAAAACAATGTAGGTTTTACTCTTAGTTACTCCCTTGCTTTCTGTTGGGCTGTAGTTTCTACTATTCTTCAATGAATGGTAAACGTTTGTGAGTTTAAAATTAGAACTCCGTACTCCACTTCTTCCACGTATTGGGTAATTTATATCTATCACAAACACCTTGAATTTTTTTCAAGCTGTATACAAGTTTTGTCACAGTAAAACATCACGTGATAGAGTAAATACCTAACTACCTCTTGAGCGGCGTACGTTAGCTGAACAAGGAAGAACAGAAACACTCTTCCAGCTCAAACTGAAAAGCATAGTTAGGACTGAAACATGGCTCTCTACGGACTTCACGGGCGATGAAGTGAGCGTTCACGACACAGTGCTACACGACTGTGACAGGAAAAACAAAAGAGGGAGCGTGTGGCGATATATGTTGACAGCATTCTCAAAGCCACGATACCGTAGAAGACCAAGCTAGCTGAGTTATAGGGCTGCCGCTGATGTTGCTTCAAATTGAACAACGTGAAGTACCTGGTCGAGGAAATATATTACCCATCCCACACACAGAAGGAAAATGCACCCAAGATAATACCGATGCTATCAAGCCTGAGATTTGAACGGATACTCTTAGCCGGTGATTTCGATATCCCATCACAGAATTGATGATAGCGAGAGGGAGGCTTCACAAGAATTTCATTGGAGCCATAAAAATCCTCATCATGACTTAACATTAAGACGACTTTAGGAAATGGGGGAAAGACAAAAATCTTTCAAGACATGAATATCTGCAAAAACCTAGATATAAATATTCGGTTTGGATGCAGAACTAACGAACTAGTTTATTAGATAAGGCTAAACAATGTTAATCTGTATGACGTACGAAGCGTTTTTGAGTTACTCGTATTAAATTATATCAAAGCACAAATTCTGTATTCAATCTGGACGGTTCTGATTCGAGAAAGAGAATAAACTATGTAAAAAGTACAAAATACCTCAAACAGTACAGCCCGTGCTATACAACCAAGGGATTTTCTAGAATACTTTTTACATAGTTTATTCTCTTTCTCGAATCAGAACCGTCCAGATTGAATACAGAATTTGTGCTTTGATATAATTTAATACGAGTAACTCAAAAACGCTTCGTACGTCATACAGATTAACATTGTTTAGCCTTATCTAATAAACTAGTTCGTTAGTTCTGCATCCAAACCGAATATTTATATCTAGGTTTTTGCAGATATTCATGTCTTGAAAGATTTTTGTCTTTCCCCCATTTCCTAAAGTCGTCTTAATGTTAAGTCATGATGAGGATTTTTATGGCTCCAATGAAATTCTTGTGAAGCCTCCCTCTCGCTATCATCAATTCTGTGATGGGATATCGAAATCACCGGCTAAGAGTATCCGTTCAAATCTCAGGCTTGATAGCATCGGTATTATCTTGGGTGCATTTTCCTTCTGTGTGTGGGATGGGTAATATATTTCCTCGACCAGGTACTTCACGTTGTTCAATTTGAAGCAACATCAGCGGCAGCCCTATAACTCAGCTAGCTTGGTCTTCTACGGTATCGTGGCTTTGAGAATGCTGTCAACATATATCGCCACACGCTCCCTCTTTTGTTTTTCCTGTCACAGTCGTGTAGCACTGTGTCGTGAACGCTCACTTCATCGCCCGTGAAGTCCGTAGAGAGCCATGTTTCAGTCCTAACTATGCTTTTCAGTTTGAGCTGGAAGAGTGTTTCTGTTCTTCCTTGTTCAGCTAACGTACGCCGCTCAAGAGGTAGTTAGGTATTTACTCTATCACGTGATGTTTTACTGTGACAAAACTTGTATACAGCTTGAAAAAAATTCAAGGTGTTTGTGATAGATATAAATTACCCAATACGTGGAAGAAGTGGAGTACGGAGTTCTAATTTTAAACTCACAAACGTTTACCATTCATTGAAGAATAGTAGAAACTACAGCCCAACAGAAAGCAAGGGAGTAACTAAGAGTAAAACCTACATTGTTTTAATCTTAGTAGGAGGTCATAGACTAGATCTTAATCAACTAACGTTGATTGCTACACAGTCACCATGACTATCTTCGTAGTTTCCTGTGTTGCGAGTGTTTGATCGAGGTCCACTGAAACTTGAGTGTATTCTGGTCTGTTTTACTGTTGTGCCTTAAAAAACAAGATCAGTTGCGAGACATGACACGGATTTAGAGAAGACAAGTCTTGAGCATCTGGCCTTCTTCTAGGACTGTGCAGCCTGAGAACTTTCCAGAGCGGAAAGGTACTAATCTAAACCATATTTATGGATTCGGAGAAGATTTAAACACAGTACCCAAAAAGTCGCGAAGACGAGTCTCACTGACTCACTTCTATCCTGGTTCCAGAGTCGCCTGTAGAACTGGATGCTCCGTATCAAGGCACATGAAATGCCTGTGGACTAGAGGGTCTCAACATCGAAAGTCTCACAGCGGATCACCTTGACTTCACTACTCTTCCTGACTTTAACAAACAACGTCCTAGAAAAAATTGACCCACAAGCATTTGCTCAGACTGACGATCATAAGAGACGGAGGTCCATAAGAAGCGACGGGGGTGCACTGGGGCGTCGAAGGACCTCACAATATTAAGGAAATGGGCAGAACTTACGTTCTCCACAATAACCCTTTCCCGATCATCTTCACACAGCGCGATACAGGACAAGCAACCACAGAGAGCTTGGACGCCAGTTCTAACTACACTTCAAATCCAACTCTCCACTTTTATATAGACAACCTGATGCAATCACACCAAAGTTGTTCCTTACATTGCTTAAGACAAACTTATGGCCTCACCTCGAGGTTCACAAAGTTCATTCACCTCCTCTCCTCGAAGGAAACGTGAATTTCTTAGAGACGAGCGACGAAGTGGGTGATGGAGTTAAGGAAGAAATCTTACGAAGATGAACTCCGACAGCTAAAATAGTCCTCTCTGAGTTATATGGGAATAAGAAGTGGCGTGATAATGGTACACGGCGTGCTAAGTACACAAAGTCATCCCTACACGAAGACCCTACCAGGACCGAAAACTCAGTCACACCCCCACTTTTACTTACTAAGATTTTCCCCGTTTGGTATGTTCTGCCGGCAGGAGTGCCCACAGATCTCAGTGGACGGCTTCAAGTGAAGACTCGACAAACATGTACTCACCCATGGGATGCCATCTCCCACTTGGAATGTGTCTGATGCATATTTTGTAATCTACCTACTATTGCCACCATCACGTCAGCTTATTTCAACCTCGTTTCTTATCATCACCGTTCCCCCTTTTATTCGTACACTTCGACCTCCTCATACTGTTTGAACTATTAATTTATTTACCTTTTGACACAACCAACCTCTCTTAGCACTCGAATTTTTCTCTTTACTGTTTTCCACATAGCAACCAACCGACCCCCTACCTGGTAGTGCAATAGCTGTTGGATCCCAAGACCCTACTGCCTTGAGACGAACGCACTCAATCGAACTACATGATACACAAACTGACTAGAATTAGTGCAGCCAAGTGGCTAGACTACCACCAATTGGACAATATCAATGACCTGGAGCTGAAACAAAACAACAAGAAGAGAGCGCAAAGAAACCGATTGGTTTACACACGTTGTGACGAAGACATTGGATATTGGACGTGAGCGAGTTTAGAGTTGGTTGTTTACATGTGCAATGTGGGTTTTCCCTGTATTTCTTTTTGAACTATATTCGCAAAGTTCAGTTTTCGTCCACTAGGTGAATTCTCCATATTCACCAACCCTGTTAATGCGCCGAGCATTCGCGTTTTTTCCTGTCACTTGCGTAAAGAATACCCCGCCGCCAGGTGTCAGTGAGTAGGACTTCCCCCACCCTCAACCGTACCAGGGTATTTCTATTCAGAGTTTATAAATTCATCCTCAAACGCAGTCGGTATAATGTTTCAGTCCTCAAAATAATGCCATTCCTACTAAACCTACCGACAAATTCTTTGCCCATTGTGTAGCTTACCGGATTTGCCGCGCTTTTGTGACTTACTTTCGCCTGTTACTCCCAATGGAGCATGGGCTGCTGACCTGCATCCTCCAACCCAGTATTTCATGGGACTTTTTTACTAGTCCCATCCAACTTTCGTTCATTTATCTCATGTCTGTCCATTTCTCGATGTATTGTGTTCCTTGTTATTCTTCATCTCCACCTGTGACCTTGAGGATTCCATGTGAGGGCTTGCCTCATGACGCAGTTGGGTGCTCTACTCAGTGTGTGTCCTATATACTTCCAGGGCTTCTACCTGATTTCTTCCTCCGCCAGGATATGATTTGCTTATTCCAAAAGTAGGTTGTTGTGGTTGATAGTGTCCGGCCAAACGATCCGAAGTATTTCGCGTAGACAACTGTTAATACATACTTGTATCTTCTGGATGATGGCTTTCGTAGTTCTCCAGGTTTTCGCGCCATACAGTAGAACGGTTTTCACGTTTGTATTGAAAATCCTGACCTTGGTGTTGGTTGACAGTTGCTTTGAGTTCCATATGTTGTTCAGTTGTAAATATGCTGCTCTTGCTTTTCCGATCCGCGCCTTCACATCTGCATCAGATCCACCGCATTCACCAATGATGCTGCCCCAATATGTAAAGGTTTTCGCATCTTTCAAATCTTCTCTGTCAAGTGTGATCAGATTGTTGCATGCTGTTATATCGGAGAGTCTTGCTTTTCCGTGTCCCGCTTCACAAAACATTTATTACAGTGAAATTTCCCAACAAATTGTTCATAATTTCTGGAGATTTTAAGTAAAGGAAGTTTTAATAATGATAATAATAATAATAATAATATAATCGATTTTTGAAAATTTCTGTAGAAAATCTGAATTATGCACAGACACATATATATAAACATCATTCTTCCATCAAAAACAGACAAATTCACAATATTAAAGGAAAAAAGGGATTTGTACAAGGGAGTGCTATCAACAAAAAAAGAAGTAGTAATGCGAACTTAATAATTTACACAATATAATTAAATGATCAATCAAAAAGAATGATGGGCATCTAACAGTCTGTCATTTATGTTAGAGTATATATAGAGAATCAAATTATATGACCGTAACATGATTACAAAATTAACGATTCCTGATTAATGATATTTTATACTGAAGGAAAACTGAATAAGTGATAATCAATTGTGACTAATTACTTCAAAAAAAAGTTTATTATGAAGTGCATCATCTTAAATTAAACCAGTCGAAATGACTAGAATGTAAGATATTCGCAACTTGTGCAGAATAAGATGATGCAATGGACAGCAATAAAGGTAGATCTTCTGGCAAGCAACTACAAATAAGAAAAAAAAAGACAAAAAGCTACTATTTATACATATATATGCTTTCTAATTAATCAGTGAAAAATGATCAATGTAACTAAGTGACAGTGAAGATTTTATAATCTAGCGTTCAATCAAGAACTATGGGTTACTATCCACTCCAATAGCGAGTTTTAAGTGGTGTATACGAAAACATTATTTAACAGTCAAAGTGAAAATTGGTGAAGTACGATTATCAAAATCAATAACTTCACTTCCATGTTTAGTCGAATACAAAAATACGATCAATAATTGTCTCGAATTGTAGATAGAAATAATAGGATGTCTGGCAGTAGAAAGAAACAACAGGACGTTAAAGGAATGGTTAACCGCTAAATGAGGAAATTGGAAGAAAGAGTTAACATTGATTTTGCTGAAACATTGTGTCTCCATACAAGGAACAAGCAAGAAGTCACCTTTCCTGCTTATGTATTGTAGACAACCACGACTATCAATGCATAATAAGACCTGGCCACAACAACAGAAGTGGACGGTAGCAAGGTTAAGAAAAGAGAGGAGACAATAAGGAAAATGGAAAAGAAACAAATATCAGACAAAAAGAAGGCGGAACAGCAGAAAAAGACGTAGAATCCTTTTGCGGTGGAGACCTGGTAAACTGTAGAGAATGGAAAAGTGACATATCAGGGGGACCAGGGTCAGGAAAACTGATTCCGAAATGGGAAGGATAGTACAGTGTCACAGAGACGTGGCTCGGTTTACACGACCCGGAGAGAAGATAAGCAGAAGCACGTAAATTCCAGTTAACTGCAGAGATGGTTTCAAGAGCATCATGAGTGCAAGTCACGAACAACACCAAAGAAGACAGTGATACGGCGATCGGAAAAACTGCGACAACAGCTTATTAAAAGGGAGACAAGTGCAGTGTGTGTTACTTATGTTGACGTAAGTAGTGTATAACACTAATCAGGAATAGGATATCTGGCAGCAGAAGGTTGAGAAGATCGAGGAGGGAAGAACGGGAATAGAAATGCAGGAACAATGAAGTTTGAAACAATTAATGAAAATTTTGCAAATGAACTATTAGAGTATGGTTCTTCTATTTTATCAAGTAACTCTGTAATTTTGTGCTAAATATAATCGGTTGTTCTCACCTGCATTCTCTTTCACTACAGGGTTAGTGGCTACAAGCATTGAGATGAGATAAAGCAACGTGCACTGAAATACAAGGAATTCAGAAAACAACCGAACACTTCATAACGATGTTTCAAATTAGATGAAGTCATATGTTAAAAATAGCATCCTTATTATAGATAATGTCAAACAAATGTACGATTCCCAAGTATATGTTGGTTACCGGTAAATTTAGGGTTTTCTTACAACGAAGTCTTCCGCAAAATCTACTACTGAGCTAAATAATAGTAAATGTTAGAAAAATATTGACGCGCTTTCACACGTATACATCACTTTAAACGATTTTCAAAATGGCTGACATGGATTAACAGGTTGGATTAAGTAAACGGCAGAATTATACTGGAGTTTAGTGTACAGAAATCTTTAAAGTTTATCTTATCAACTGTGAGATTTTTTAATTTTCCGTTATTGACGTTTAAGAACTTCAACCGATTAATGTCTGTTGCCATATGTACATCTTGAAAGGATTGTCTCGACATAGTGGCTAGCAAAGAAATCCAGAACATGAGTTTTGTCGTAACTGAAAATTGTCAGCTGAATGTTTTTACAGATTCAAAGTCAGTCACATTGTGAAGTCGGCTGAGAAGTCTAAAATAGGCGACATGGATACTGCACTTCACTGCTAACCATATACTAAATATTCTAAAATCGTTTTGTTTGTTATTATGTGTAACAGTAAGATGGATTCACACTAGTTGTTATACTGATACTAAATTAATGATATAAGAATTACATTTCGCAATTCACATAGTGAAATAGAATAAGTTGGATTAACTGTTTAAAATTAAATATAATCGTAATTGATAATTCTGGAAATGAACTCTGTTAACTAATCATATTATTTTAAAACAGCATTATTAACTAAATGGAATTACGATGCATATTTTAAAACAAAATGCACGTGATTTGGAAATCGGAATGAACCACTCATTTTAATGTCAAATGTCACCACAAACACGTACATCACTGGATGCTTCTTGACAAAACAATATATTGAACAGAACAGACAACAATCGATATATATATATATATATATATATATATATATATAACAATGGAATAATCTAAACCCATACAAATAAATTCATATTCATTGAATAAGTTGGCGGACTAATTAAGTCGATGGACAACGCATTGAAGTTTTAAACAAAAAGGTTCGAGTCTTAATGTGGACATCAACACTAATGCAGGTAAATCCGGCTAATGGATCCAAGTACATTAAAATGTGCATCCTGAACTTCACTGTTACCCTAAACCCAAATATACTACATAGTATTGTTATTTATAAGTAATCAGTTTTTCAAAATACCCGGTCATCTCAGACAACCAGTTTAAAAAATGACCACAGCATTTCATGTTATCATCATATAACCCATCCTTTTAACTTTTTTTGCAACAAGTTTATATGCATGAGTTTAACGGAAACCGTCAACGAGAAAATTAATTTAAATGCTCAACCTCTCGAAACGTAGACAGGGCAGTAATCAAACCTCCAGTCGCTAATCATTTATTCAATGTTACAATAAGTGAATAAAAAAATTCTAAAAAATCTACTATATATCGTAAATTGTATGCATGAAAACTAATTTTAGTAAGCAAATATTAAAAATAATTATTGTCACTAACCCTGCAGCAATGGTCATCCGATCAACTCGGTGAAGCGTATTTGAGCCTTCTTTAACTAACAAATTTGTCAGTATTGAACTTTTAAGATAAATCAATTGCAGATTACCCTCCAGATGTTTCAGAGTCATCAGTGAACAGTTTGTTGCATCTAACACCATATGGATTTGTTCGATAAGACGAAATACCAAAGGAGCAGGTTTAATTGGTATAATACGCCGAGTAATACATGACCCAAGTTTACACTGTGGTGTCGTTAGAACTGATTGTTGTTCAAAGGGTTCTGTCTCATCCAACTTTACTTTTACACGATCTCGACCAACGTGTGTACCACTACTACTTCCAGCGCTAATAGTGAAATGATGACTTAATTTCAGATTTGCATCATCTGATTCCTTGCTTGAAATTGAATCTGTAGATTTGGACTGAATAAGCGTTAGGGCCTATTATATATTTTTTAAAAATACAAACAATTAGATTGTCTATTTTAAAACTGGGTAAATTTTCGAAAATTAATCCATCTTTTATCATAAGCAATACAAGGTGATATTCAGGAAAAATCACTGATTTCATAGATTACAATTACATCATGGTCAACCGAGGTTGTAATGATCAAAATGGATAGTTAGCGAATGAAATTCAAGTGTTAAATATTATTCCTAATGTGGGCGCGAGCAAATGGAGGTGTACAACTTTCATAATAACTATTCCATGGTAACTAACTCTCAAACACTATATCGATATGAAGAAACTCCTAAAAATCATATTTTTTTCTACTTAATAAACAGGGAAATAAGACAATACAGAAGCTCCAATTCTCACAATTTTCTAGAGTATCGGAGAAAAATACCAACATGTTTACAATGCAAAAACAACATATATGAGGATAAAGATGAAATATGAAGGGTGACAAAACTGTTCGAGGCTGAAATGAAGAATGAAAATATGTACGCGAACGTAATTAGTTTTCAGCTGTGACTGCAAATGTAGAAATTACAACCTATTAAAAATCTTACTAAAATAAATTACACAGCAAAATGATTGAATAAAGTTGGGAGTTATTCTTAGGAACTTGTATTTTTTTTAACCAGTTTTACATTGCAAGGTTGATAATAATTAGCTTGTGTTACTAACTGGCCTAACTACCCTAAATAGTACAGATTTGCTGTTGCTTTATCAACTCGCCCATCTTGTCAACAGTCTTAAATCTGACTTCAAAACAGTGAACGCAGGTTTACTAAATGCAAGCGACACTGAAGGAATCCATAATCAAGTACTATATATATATATATATATATATATATATATATATATATATATGCATTATACCCGCCCTTTAGAAAGCATTCAATTACCTACAGTAAGTAGTGGATTGGCAAAACATTTCGCAATTCATATTATGTTATTAGGAGAGACCCAACCTACCAAACCTTCTAGACTTAATCTTAAGAAATACTGAGGCAGACTAGTAATAGTAAAGTTTTAACAAGTGCAAAACATAGAACAAACATGCCTAAAATCTCTGCGTAGACGACTTAGTATTCGTTCACTTTTATCAATAAGTGGTACTTATTTTCTTAAAATACGGAAAGATGTCCTAGACACAAAAATAACTAGTTATCAGGAATACATATGTATATTTAGCAGTTAGAGGTTAAAAACAGGTTTGATTGATGCTATAGATAAATGAGATCCAATGCGAAAGCATTTTACAATGTGTATCTCTTCATGATTACTGTTCCATAAATCACAATTCATCAACAAAATCGATCACAAAATTATCCAGTTTATTAGTGTATTGATACACTAACCAACTATTGATGTCCATATAACGACTATAAACGATGGTAGATTGCATGACAGATTTGATTTGTTAGAACAAATAGACTAACAGTAGTTCTCTAACTTTTATATGCCCTACATAAAAAAGAGATACTCTAAAAATCATATCACTTATTCTAAAGGCCAACTACAAAAATGTTAACTATTTAGATAATTTTAAAACATGAAAATACACATACTAATCGGTCTTGAATACCATACCAGACCTATCAACTACTACCAAATACAACAGTTCATTTAATTTTAAACAAAATTTTCATTAAAAATTCAATAAGATAGGCCATATACAGAGGGTCTAACAGCTTACATAACATTAACTCAATTTGACCTGATAACACATAAAATGTATTCGTTTATTAATTCATATTAAATCACCGTGACAATATAATATTTAAAATGAACTAAAACAACAGTAATAATATTAGCCAGTTTAAAAGACTATTGCCAATCATTTCAACCCATTACGTACACAGTTATTTATAAGGTTTAGGCTTAATTAATTTATTTTTTTAAAAATTAAAAGTGGGTGATTCTAATAATAAATAAAAGATCAAAGCTGATACGTGTAACATATTGTAAATAATGTAGAGAGAAGTGATCACTGTCTTGTATACAGTCAGTTTTAAACATATGTATTAGAACAATTTACCATACTTCACATCAACATAGTGAGAAATTAACAAAATATACAATACATAAGCTGAAATAATGAAAACAAAAATAATTAAGAACTATGTACAAGTAAAATGATATCATTGAAATGAGAATAGAATGTACAAAAAATGACTGCTAAAACTCAATAATTAGGAAAAATGTGATGATGAGGATAATTGTGCTACAAAAACGAATTTGAGCCATGTCATTTAAGGTTCTCTATTATTATGATTATGGTGTATATATGGACTAGGACGTCTGCAACTTCGAACATGACTTAGAACAACGATTGATGAGTTTATCAACTGTCTTAGTCTTATTCCAAACCATTCTGTTTTAGTCAGCAAAGCACACCTCCCAACTATCCTGTTTGATGAAATTTTACGGCTTCATTACCGCATTTACTCTGTAGTATACAAAATATTTGAACATCTGTAAGAAATCATTAACTTGTTCAGACCTGTTTTTGATTGATCAAATATTATTCTTATTGTTCCGTTGTACTATTTAAACTTGGATTAATTTTAATTTGGTTATTTATTCTCTGAAGAAGTGACTTACACTAAGTCACGAAACGTCAGAAAATCTAATTTTCTACTCATTGGGATATTACAAATATATTATTTATTTACATCTGTAAGAAATATTGAGGTGAATGCAAATCATTTTGTAAAGTAGACTTGTTGTATGTTTTACGTAATAGATTTATCATTAATACTTTTGAAACAAATTAAAGTTCAGTAAACTAACGCTAAGCTTCGAGCTATATACATTGTAAAAGGCAATAAAAAATATTGCGTACAATAAACTGAGCACTTCATTACAATTTTGTAAAGGACTAGTTGGAAAATAACTAAACAATTAGGCTTTATATTGTACCCAAAGCAATCTAACATCGGTTGAAATTCTCAATTAAACGATGGAATCTCCAGTCTTATTCAATAAACCTATAACTCATGTCTTTAAAGCTTTCTATTCTAATTAGTTATACCAATTATCCAAACGTTCTTTTTGAAGCACAGTAAGAAGGAATCTTCGGTTATGTGGGTGGTCGGCGGGTTTTAACATCCAACACGACTCTAGCAGAATATAAGTGTTTATTCCACTATCATTGACTTAAATTTTACCTTCCGATTCAACTTTTATACCACTCTTAACGGTGTTTATGACCAATCTAAGAATTGTCATATACAATATTAAGGAATCAAACATGTGGCATTTTGAAGCTAGCAATGTTTATAATGTTTGTGAATAAAAAGGCAACAGTAGATAAAAATCTGATAACTTGAATTATGTATGTGCTATAAATTGACTTTTTTTTAAGTTACTACACACAGAGTACTCAAAAGAAAGAGCAGTTTAACGATGCTCTACTGGATGGAGAGACATAATTGACGTGGATTAATCTACAGTCTACCTGACATATGATTAAATGCAACTTAATAACGATGTATAAGTTTGTGTGCCGGAAATGAGAAGTTACAACCTAGAAATACTGGGAATGGGTGAAACCCACTAAACACAATCTGGACAAAACAGACTAACTTCGGAAGACCTGTTATCATATTCTAATCACGAAGAAAATGCCCCCCACACTGGTGTCCAAAGGCGAACAAAAATCCCTCATGGGATAAAAAATTCACGACTCCAAGTGCATCGAAAAATCCTTCAAAACAGAAGAGAGAATTAAAACCAAAGTCATATAGTAATACGCACCCACCAATAATAGCAACGAAGAAGATAAAGATCAGTTTTATGAGAGGCTGCAGTCGAGAAGTGCCTAGGAAAGGATCCTAATATCCTGATAGGATACCTAAACACCAAGGTTAGAATGGACAACATTGAGTGTGAACGCATCAGAAATGACATGGACCAGGAGAAAGGAACGAGAATGGTGAGACAAACAAATCTATGTGCTTTAAGCAATATGGTTATAAATAGCACTAGTTCCCCCTGAGAACACATACACAGAGCTACATGGGTTTCAGCAGACGACATTGAAGAATATCAGGTCGACTACGTACGCATTAGTAAAAAATCCGGAAGGAACATGGGGGATGTAAGAACAAAGCTAAAAACGAAGCAGTGTGACAAAAGTTTTGTACAGACTTTCTTCAAGATGTTAACAGTTTCGGCTAGTTCAAAATAGCTCTCAGCAACAAGTTTCAAGTCTCACAAGACCCACTAGAAGAAGAGGACACCCCTCTGGAGATCAACTAGAAAGGATTAACCAAGCAATGACTTCATTATCCCATGTGCTGGACACAACAAACACCAGAATAAGAAACTAATCTCTATAGATACTCTGGATAAGATTCAAGAACAGAAAGATAGGAAAACAGAAGTCAACAATAGAGGAACGAAGGTAGAGAAGGCCAAGTTATGGTCTGAATGTATGGAAGCAAACAAATGAGTAAAGAGAATGGTAACAGACAAATGGAAATATGTAGAAAACTTAGCAATCAAAGTAGGACAAGATGCAGGATAAAGAAATATGAAAGAACTATATGATACAACCAGGACGCTTACAAAGAAATATAGTAGATCAGAGCAACCAATCAAAAACAAAGGAGCACCAATCACTGAGGTTGAAGAACAGTGGAACAGAGTGGGTAGAACATTTTGAAGAACTCCTGAATAGACCAGCGTCACTAAACCCATATGATGTTGAAATATAACACATGGACTTCCCCCAATAAATGACACCCTACCACCATAGAAATCAGCAAGGTTATTAAACAAATCAGGAACAGCAAAAAGGGAGGACCAGCGAGCATAATGGTCGAACCATTAAATTCTGATACACGAGCAACTGCAAAAATACTCCGTCCTCTCTCCAGAAAAACTTGGGAGGAATAACAAGTACAAGCAGAGCGTAAAGAGGGATAACTCATCATGATAATAAACAAAGGAAGGGATCAAAATGCTTTCAGTACCTGGCGAAGTTTTCAACAACATTTCTGAACCGAATGAAAGATTCAGCACACGCTCAACTTCAAGATCAACAAACTAGTTTTCATAAGGATCGATTGTGTGTCAATAAAATCGAGACACTGCAAATCATTACTAGCAATCAACAGAATAGTACTCATCATTATACATAAAATTCCCTGATTATGGTATAGGATTCGAAAACCTATGGAATCTTCTTTCACAATACAAAGTGCCCAAGAATATCTCCACTATCATACGGAACTCTCACGACGGACTGAATTGTAAAGTTGTGCATGGAAGACAAATTACAGATACATTCCAAGTGGAGACTGAAGTCAGACAAGGCTGCTTACTCTCGCCTTTTCTTTTTCTTCTGCTGGTTGATTGCATTATGACGACCTCCACATTTCAGAGGAGGCATGAAATACGGTGAACGGCTTGGATTCACCTAAACGATTTGGATGTATTATCCCCTCTATCTCATGCACCGTAATAAATACAGGCCAAAACAGCTAATACAGCAGCAAATTCTGGAGCAGTAGATTTCGAAATTCACGAGGAAAAAAATATCTAGAAATACTACACAAAGAGCAAAAACAAATTCCTCTTGACGGAGAAGCCCTAGAAGCAATGGAATCCTTTACGTACCCGAGAAGTATCATTGGTAAACAAGGATTATCTGATGCAGTTGTAAAAACATGGAATGGTGAAGCAAGGGCAGGATTTCTACAACTAGAGATATGGAACTCAGAACGACTGTCAATCAATATCAAAGCCAAAATCCTCAATACTAACGTCAAGAGAGTGCAACTGTAGGGAGCTGAAACGTGGAGAATTATTACAATTCTCATCTAATAGGTACAAATATTTATAAGCAGCTGTCTACGCAAGATACTACATATCTGTTGGTCAGATACCATCAGCAACAACCTACTGTGTTAGAGAACAAACCAGATACCAGCTGAAGAGGAAACTGTGAAAAGACGCTGGAAGCGGATAAAACAAACTTGACGAAAACCATCAAACTGCATCACAAGGCAAACCATAACATGCAGTTCTCAAGGGAAAATGTAAGGAGATAGACTAAATAACACAGCCCCAGAAATCAGAAATAGACATCAAGATCATGAATACCATTAGGCAACAACTGAAAAGAAGAGCCCAGAACAGTTTATTGGAGATCTATAGTCGGCGGCCTATGCTCCAAGAAGGGCAACAGGTCTAGGTACGTAGTTATGTATTGCAGTTGTCTGGTCTGTTTAGTACTCATGGATCGCGCTCCGCATTAGAAGAATCTCCTGATCGTCTATTATTAAGAAATATTGCACCAAATCTCGGAATTAAAACAATTTTTGAAAAGAAGATTAAAACTACAAAAAATCCCTCCTAATCTTACCTCGACACTCTTAGCATCGCAATTAATCAATAAACTTGTAGCAGACCATTTAAGTGGTTTCAGTTGACAATCTCTTGATTTCGGATATGAAAGACTAGATTTAATTGATGGATTCAATTGGGTGGACGATAATAAAGATTCCTCTGGTCTAGTATTATTATTGGAGTTATTACTATAGACTGATAAGTTATTTAAATCGTTAATAATAGCTGGGCCATAAGTAATCCACTGAAGTAAATTTTCTTCTAAGCGTGATTTGAAACTTTCAGGGTGTTCAACAGTTGCTTGTAACACATGACCACTATGATATATATCAGTGACAGTACCGGAGATTAGTGAATGATTTGCAAGTGTTGGCGATGGAGAATGATGAACTGGATTGACAGCATGTGGTATTTCTTCTTCGGTATGATAAATCGATGACGATGGTGACATATTATCAATATTGAAGACATTAGATCCATCCGCTACTCTTGATGAGGATGAAAATGGAACCTCATGATCACGTGACTGCGGTGAACACAAATGCTTTGATGAACGGTCTGCAAACTGTGGATAGATTGGTAAACAATGAGTTTTAAAATTATCTAACGTATTACACGGTGAAGTTGGACTGCTGCTTCTTCCTAGTGGTAACGTCAAGGAACTAGGATGATTACCTGAGCCCTGAATAACTTCAATCGGTAAACAACTACACAACTCTTCATCACCATCAAAAAATTTTCTAAAAAGGTAAACAAGCAATGAAAAACAAAAAAATTACTTAAAACGCGGACGAAAAAATCAATCAATAGATAAAAACAAACAAATAAAACATATGATCTACATCACATGTTATAAACAAAAGGCCAAATTCTAACAAAACTGTAAATATATATACAGCAAATAATATCATATTACGCTTAGGCACTGATGGTCATTAAAATTCAGACTGGAAACTGTAAACAACGTCAACGTTTAATTATGCTTAAAGAAGTGAAGCTAACCAATGTAGTTTTTTTTAAATAGTTGATGAATTGGTTGATTCAAAAGTTTTCTTCGTAAAAGATTTATGTTCCACTGAAAAACAGTAAAGTATAGAACGACGACATTTACATTTTGAACGCATCTATGATGAGTAATTTCAACTTCTTCAAAGATAAAAACATGGAATTTTAAGTTTCGTGAGGAGTATAATTGGTGTATTAGTCTGTAATGTTAGGAGTATGCATAGGAATGGATTATCTGACTTCCAAATAATTATTTATTACACGAGGATAACCAAAAAGGCCATGAACATTCTTTTATTCAATTTGTATTGACAATTTCATTTCACTGTGACAATAGTAATATGGCGACCTGAACATTTATCCCAGGTTTTATTCTGCTTATGACTAATGATGGGCTGATTAATTTTAAGAGGGATATTATGTACCTCAATGGTAAATTAACCTGAAAATATACGACCTCAAAGCGGCGAAAAATGTGTAGTATACTATGATCTCAATCTATTTTATGAAGGTTGACAATTTCTTTAGAATTCATTTGAATAGCAAAAAGTATTGTATGAACGAAGTGTCTAGAGAGAGACATATATGTCAAAGAAATTACATAGCTACCTAGATAATAGCAACCAAAGGCGTAAAATAGAAATCATTCATTATGATGAACAATAATTACTTAGTGAAACAAATGCAGCGAAAACATCTGTCGATACTCTGAATTTATGATCGGATTCACAGATAAGAATTGTTAATTTTTTAAAGAAAAACTTCAGGAAATGATGATTTACTCACTCTATCAGCAAAGGAACTTCAGTATAACGAGATCGATAAGAACGAGGTGAGTTATTAGATGGACATGGTTTACTAGCAGCACTGCTACCGTCTACTAATCCAGATGACGTGTCAGTTGAACTGCAATTATCGGACGATTAAAATGAAAAACAATAATATTATAGAATATATAAAGGTGACGATAAACAACACGTAAACAGCATATGTACGATTCAAAAATTATCAAACAATTAATCTTATCTATGAACATGGGATACGAAGATGACATAATTCTGTTTGACGAAGACACTGATATGAGTCTTCTGATCGTTTTGAATGATAAAGAATGTTTAGGATGAATCTCTCTTCCTCTGAATGCAAGATGTCGCTTCACGACTGACTTATACTAACACTTTAACTGATGGTATAGAAAGAATTAGTTAACGCACCGATGACTTCACATATCTTGGAAGTCTCATTAGTCCTAGTAGGTAGTGTCTGACAAAATCTCGGAAAGCATTTACGATGTAAGATAAGCTTTGACGAAAGAATACATATCCAATCATCACCTACCTCGACAAGCGATGATTGCTGATTTAAAAGTAAGTTGGAGGAATGCTGAATGCTACCAAACCAAGACGTAGCATCAGTCCATGAAGATATTGACTGTTGGACTGAGCCGTGTTGGTAGGCCCAGACTGTTAGGGGTCAATAAGATTATTATTATTATTATTATTATTATTATTATTATTATTATTATTATTATTATTATTAATGGCTTTATTCAATATTATATTTTGGTACAATATAGAATTCTCAGCACAGGGTATTTCAACAAGTTACTTATGCAAACAAAAATAGTAACAAAGACAAAAAAATAAAGTTTAAAAAAAAAATCTGAAAAACAGTACAACATTTGAAATTAAAGTCATGTTAAGAATGCAGGTTATTGGCTAGGTTAACTCTAACAACCTGTTCGTCACAGAGTATATTTGCTAGATAAGGTATTATAGAACATTTGTACTTTTGCTTGCGTGCATGGATTTTAATGTAATTACGTCTCGTTCTACCAGAAGATATACAAGGAGAAAGATAAGAGTGAAGGGGATGGCTAGTATCTGATAAAATGACACCTGCCAGGAGTTTGCATGATTTTAAATGTCTATCCACAACCATATTAATTATGACCTCGAAAGATTCACCACACACCTTGCTAACTGCCTTCAGCACTCTTCGCAATACAGCAAAGTCTTTTCTCAAAAGCCCGGGAAAGAATAATGGAGAACAGTAAAGAATAATAGGTAGTATGCAAGAATTGACAAATTGTAAGAGTAAATGACGAGTAATTCCAAGAGCATGCAATCTCTTTATGTAATAGGTCAGACGGAAAACCTTCTTCGATAACGATAAAACGTGGGAAGACCAAGACAGATCAGAGGAAAAGGTGACACCAAGATAATTGACCTTCGACACTGAGTTTATCAAAGAGTCTCCGATGGTACAAGCACTATGGGATCTCAAAATAGTGTTTATATTCCGTTTATGTCTCATGCTAAAGTTAACAGCTTGACATTTAGACGGATTAAGTATGAGACCATTACCAACAGACCAACAATCAATACGAGACAAAAACTCATTCATTTCTATGGGATGTAAAGAGGAAGATATAGGCATACATACAGTGAGGTCATCCGCATACTTCACAAAAGTGTTTTCTGTGGAAGATGGCAGATCATGCAGAAAAAAAGAGAATAGAAGAGGTGAAAGAACAGCTCCTTGTGGTACACCTTCATGAGACAGTAGAGACTCTGAACTCTTTCCTCCAAACACAGTGTATTGTTCCCTTCCAGAGAGGTAGGAACATAGCCAGTTGGTTATCCAGCTGTCAGTGTTGACGCTGATTAACTTGTTAAGTAATCGTTGTCTTGGTATAGAGTCAAAAGCTGAAGTATAGTCCAGAAAAGTACATCGAACATACTTCTTACCCTTTTCTAAGTTGAACACTATGTTGTGATGCAGAACTGCAACAGCATCTAAAGTGCTTCTTTTGCGCCTGTATGCAAACTGGTATGGGTCAGTATGCTCTTTTATCGCAGGCTGAAGTGGAAGAATTAATAATTTTTCCATGGTTTTGAGGAAGGGTGAAGTTATTGCAATAGGTCTAAATTTTACATTCTTATCACCAAATGCTTTCTTGGGTACAGGAATTATCTTCATCTTTCTCCACACTTTCGGTATGAGATTAGATGAGAAGGATCTGTTAAATATAATTGTGAACGGATGACACAGAACGTCAGCACATTTTTTAAAAAGGATGTTTGGGATACCATCAGGTCCCAAACATCGAGATGAATTAAGCGACTGGAGACATCCTCGTACATCAGTTTCAGTGAAAGTAGGAACACAGCTAGTTTTTAAACCCGTGGATAGAGGGAGCATCACATCAGATGACTGACGTACAAAAGACTTATTTAAGTCACTAACATTCAGCTGGTTATCAATTCTAAACTTTCTGTCACCTGTAAGTTCTTTAAAGAATTTCCACATACTTGGAGAGTTTTTGCAAGATAAGAGCTTTTGAGTAAACATACAGTTGAGACGTCTAATCTCTAGGTTTATCAGACCATTTAGTTTACGAACTTCATTTGAGTTCTTCTCCTTGTACATGCTTTCTTTCATCCTTCGTAGTCGTTTTAGTTGTGAAGATGTAAGTCGATCAAAACTTACAAAAATGGTTTCGGTGGGACAACAAATATCAAAACAGAATTTAAGGTAACAAGTGATAACATCAGTAGTGTTTTCGAGTGAGTCATCTGTAAATAATTCCCAGTTAGTCGTATGAAACATGTTTTTCAGATTTAGGATATTTTCTTCTGTGTAATTCCTATATTTGACTTTTCTGGTTTTACGTAGGAGTGTACTCTTCCCATGCTTTCCATATACTTTAGGTAGAACACGAATTATACAGTGATCTGAGCTAGACAATGGAGCACGTTTACGAGTCGCATATATACCCACATCATTAATGAAGACGAAGTCTAGATGAGCATCCAGACGGGTAGGAAAATCTACTGCATTTTGGTGACCTAGTGACGTAAGGAAGCTACAGTCACATGAATTGAAATCACCACATACAACTGAAAGTGAATCACTGAAGGCAGTAACAGCGAACTCAGTGAATTCATCAGCAAAAACAGATAGTGCAGATGATGTGCAATCTGGAGTCACGTAGATATTGGTCACGTAAACATATTTGTATTTATTCAGATGTTTTGGACGACATCTTAGAGTTAGACAGTCGATAAAATCATTTGAAAACTTAAAACACACAAACGAAGATGGACACCAGTTTATGTTTACAAACGTAGCTACACCGCCACCACACCTCTTTTTATTGTTCGATCGATCCTGACGATAAATTTTGAAATCACGTAGTGATACAAGGCAGTCATCCTGTAAATCATTCAACCAAGATTCTTGAACTGTGATGACACCACAATTACGATACGTATTTTGACTAAGTAAGAATTGCAGATAGTCCACTTTGTTGATTAGTGATCGGCAGTTAGAATTTAGTAGCTCGGGGATTGACATATGATTAATGTTCATTCTCTTTAACGCATATTGCCAACCACCACGATGCCTTTTATAGTACTTTTTCGTAACTTGTGCAGCGGAAGGTCGTAGGCTTTTCATAAAAGCGCCTGAATAGGTTATGCGATTAATGGACATAATTATAAATTAAAACAAATGAAAAAACAGATAACTTGTTGAAATAATCAGATGGCAGAAACAGGTAGCCCAGATATTCAAGCAGGCCGCCTATGGAAGATACATTTACTCTCCATTTTCCTTACAGTCATGTTTAAAATTACCTTGTATGCTTTATTCCGCAAATTCACTTTCACCTCAAATTATATCTTTTATGCTTGATATTCTCTACTACCACTAACCCTGTTGCTACTTCTACTACTTTTTCACTAACCTTGATAATTCCATCTCGCTATGATGTGGTGTAGCACATGAATGGTCAGTTCTACCTTGCTTATAACTAACTGAATGAGTAATAAATGAATTGTTATCAAAAAATACATGAATTTCGAAAATCAGCCCAGATAGTTAATCATGTGGTAATCTTCAATGAGAGAATTTTCAAGTACTTATAAGAGAGAGAGAGAGTTTAAGCTATTGAGGTATCAACGATATGAAATCAGTAGAACTGTATGATCGGGTTAGTAAGAATCCACTGAAATTTTTAATAGTTTTCGTATGGTCACTCATATCATATCGGACGTTCTTCAATGAAAACTGAGGCAAAATGAACTTGAATAAACTACAGCACATGAAAAATGGAAGCACGTAGTTTCAAACAACTGGATTGAAACTACATGTAAATAAACATCGATTTTACTCGACACAATAGAAAAAACAACTCACACAATGTAAACTTACCGTGTTGTGCTAACAGAAGTTTGAGAATTAATTGGACCGGACGCTGCTGCCGCCGCTGCTGCTGCTGCAGCCTCTCGAGTAACCATAAAGTGAGCAGCTACTTCAGCCATTCGACATTGGTCACGAGTTAGTCGATGTGTCATACACAACGCCATACCAGAAACGTGTGTAGGAGATGATCCAGTGCTTGCTGAATAAAATGCAGAAGTCAAATCTTCCTGGGAACTGATACCAGAATCATGTGCATCACCACTGTGACCAGTTGAGTTACTACTGGTTGCCGATCCAGATTTACGACGTGATTTAGCACCTAGACGAGTCTTTTAAAAGTAAAGATAAGTTTTTATTTTCAACGGGCCGTTCGTTGTCTAAATCCTAAAATAACAGGCCCTATGGTTATCAAAAACAGATTTACATCCAAGTATTGTATCCAAAAAAAATTATCACGTAGGCATGACTGTATCAACATTGAACATCAAAGTATATAAAGAACTGTCTTGATCTTCACGATCAACCTAATATTCCAATTTACAACGTATGAGACAACCACAATTCGACAGGTATTAACAAAAGTACAAAATAAGTGAAGAGTACAAACGCTTAAAGAATCAATATGAACTAGTATGGAATCGAGTCCATAAACAGTCAACGGAAAAACATTAATAGCACACTAGACAATTTTGGGAAGGGGAGGTTGCAATACTGAAATAAATCCACATTGATAATTCCTGCTTTCCGCATTATCAAAACATTTTTCCATTTTCACCATATAACATGCATTTCTGTGAAATCGTGATTCATAACTTTAGAGGGTTAGTCTACAACTAGTGGGTCATATATTCAAATATCATTTCATTTCGGTTGTAGTATCCACTAGCTCTCTCACGCAGATGTATCTGAGTTGCTTTCTATTCTGACTATCGGGTGACGGAGCGTGGAAAATCACATTCTGGACCAATGGTCTTTTAGCGTTACTCTCGGCTGTTATTTCACATTTAGCGTACCATTGGTTAGTCGGTCATTGGTATTAGATAATCTAGGAGAGCCAATCAATACTCAAACTAGATCAATACAACTGCTCTCCTGTCTTTTGGTCCAATCTCAAAGGGCCAACAGCCAAGCATATATATATATATATATATATTTTATAATGGGTTGACACATCTGTGTGTGATTGCTGAACTGTGAACAAGTGACAATTATTTGTCTGGTTGTTGTTATTCATATACTACACTTAAAGCAACAAAATACTAAGATATTTGTATCCATACAGCAGTATGTTATAAAACATTTTAGGTTGCTTAAGAGACATCTTTTCCAGTTTTGGCACCCGGGCAGTATCACAGCCCCCACACATATCGAATGAGATTTGTGTGGCGCATATGTATTCGGTGCCTCCTTGTACCAATATCTATGTGTTTAAATAAATAATGAATCTTTTCCAGTAACAGTTTCGCAGACTAACGTCGTACACTCTAGTCTGAATATTCTTTAACCTCCTTCATGGTATATGGATAATTTTACAAGTGTACCACAATTTCAAGTGAAAAACAGCATAAAGCTAGATATGCATATAACCATTACCAAACGTCAGTACGACAAATAATCTAGAGATGCACATTCTTGATTAATTCAGTTCAACTGAGTATGAAAATGTAGTATGATAGACTTTGATCATTGTTCTAATCGGTATCCTTCACCCTCATCAAACGTGAACGAATACAATTATAAAGCAGAACAAAAAAGTCATCAAACAAGTTACAGAGGCTATCTTTGAAATCTACAAGCTTTTTGATACGGGAACACTAACATCGAACAAATTGGCAATTTGTAAGCTAGAAAGAAAAAGGTTAAAGAAGACACTAGTGGAAATACAATTACCATAAACCTTCACTATCTTATAAACTTATTTATTTAGGAACACTTATTAATTCGCATTTCTCGTCGTTGGTTACGCTTGCAATACTATTCGACAGTTTCATTAATCAAAAGGATACACTATAATACAAAGTTCAATACAGCTCTTTGAATCACAAAGAATAGATCTATATGTGACTAAACTGAAAACATTAAGACCTAAAAGGAGCACAGTAATCCAGAGGGTCTGGCAGTTCAAAATGAAGTGGTAATTGTTAAATTTGCCATAAATTTATTTAATAACCATTTAGTCTCGATATCCAATGTATCTTTGCCTACATTACACTAAATTAATAATCAACCCATGTCATAAGGCTAAACCCTTAAGTAAGAATTATGATAGTTATTATTTACTAAATACAACCTAAATGCATCGGTAAGGTCTATAATTCTTTTGAGGAACTGAGGATCACATAAAGAAAACAAGTGTAAAGTTGATAAAGAGCGATAACCTACCCTAGTGGACGGCATAAAAGTATCAACTCTAAAAATTAATGTGATCACCACCTACCCGCCGTTTCTGTTGTTCTAATTCAAACAGATCAGCTGGTCCAAGTTCTGGGAGGCATTCCTGTGTGTGAATCAAGCACATGAATCTCAAGAAATACGTAGCGAAGTGAAGAAGAGCCATTAAATAAGCACGAGACTGGCCAGAAATTACAGTGCAGTTAAATATACTTCCGAATGATACTGAATCTGTTCCTATGGTTTTAAAACCTGTTTGTGTAAGTAACTGATCCAATAAACTGACGGGCACATTCTGTTTATTAGATATTGATGAATTCCCACAACTGACCCCCTAAGATAATAAATTTTAGAGAACAAAAGCAAATAATTATTCTAGGATAAAATGATTTATAGAGATTCGGTTAATTTGACGTTTTCTTTACGGTAAACTTACTTACGCCTATTATTCCTCGTGGAGGAAAATAGGCCGCCCACCAGCACTCTCCATCCAACTCCGACCCGGACAATCATTTCCTGTTCTTTCAAGCTGTTATTTATCCTTTTCTTAACTGCTTCTATTTTCCGACGTAATGCGTTCTTTGTCCTTCCTCTTTTCCGCTTCCCTTCAGGATTCCAAGTTAGGGCTTTCCTCGTGATACAGTTTGGTGATTTCCTCAATGTGTGTCCTATCCACTTCCGTCTTTTCCTAATTTCCTCCCCAGCTCGAAGACGGTTTGTTCTCTCCTACAGTAGACTGGTGCTGATGGTATCCGGCCAACGGACATTCAGTATCTTACGCACACAATTGTTTACAAATACTTGTACCTTCTTGATGATGGTTGTGGCAGTTCCGTACAACAGAACTCACTGTCTTGATGTTAGTATTGAAGATCGTGGCTTCGATATTGATTGACAGTTGTTTTTAGTTTCATATATTCTTCAACTGTGGAATTGCTGTCCTTTTCATTCCAATCCTCGCCTTTACGTCTGCACCACATCCTCCATGTTCATCGATGATACTACACAGACACGTGAAACTTTCCACATCTTCCAGAGTTTCTCTATCAACTGTGAGTGTGTTGGTGTTCTGTGTGTTGAATTTGGGGATCTTGCTTTTCTCCTTATATATATATAGGCCTACTGATGCAGACACTGCTGCTACACTAGTTGTCTTCATCTGCATTTGGTGATGTGCATGGGATAGAAGGGCCAGGTGATCTGCGAAGTCCAAATCTAATTGATTCCGAGCTATCCATTGTATACCGTGTTTCCTCTCAGATGTCGATGTCTTCATAATCCAGTCGACCTTCACAAGAAAGGGGAAGGGGAAGAGTAAGCAGTCTTGTCTGACTCCGGTCCTCACTTGGAATACACTTGTCAGCTGTCCTCCATGCATAACTTTGTACTGTAGTCCATCGTATGAGTTCCGTATGATATTGACGATCTTCTCAGGCACACCATAGTATCGAGGAAGTTTCAATAATGTTCTCCTATCCACACTGTCATACCACTTTTCATAGTCAAGGAAGTTGATGTATAGTGACGAGTCCCATTCGACTGATTGTTCAACGATGATACTTTGTATCGCGATTTGGCATGTGCACGACCGGTCTTTACGGAATCCAGACTGTTGATCTCGAAGTTGGGCGTCTATGGGTCTTTCATCCAGTTCAGAAACACTCTGTAAAAAGCTTTTCTCGGTATTGACAATAGTGTGATATCTCTGTAGTTCTCACATTTTCTCACATCTCCTTTCTTGAGTATCCTGATGAGGTGTTGACGTACATTTATTTGCAAATCTGTTAACATTCTCGTCCCGTCTTTCCAGTCCATGTCGTCCCATGATATCTTCATATCCGTGAAGCCCCGTTTACTCTTATTATTTTAATCCATTTTCTAGAGTCACTTACTAAGCGTTCTTCCAGCCTACTCTTATATCAGAAAACATCACCCACCGAGACAGGCGGTGGTTGGGCATACGTAACATGTGTTCCAAACACTTCAGTTGATGAATATTTACTTCATCATCAATCAATTTAGCATCTCTACCCATTACCCCATGCCTGACCATGGAACTGTCTACTCGGTGGTCCCAGAATACACGAACAATGCCTCGAAGACACCTGTGATCGAATATTAGTAAGCTACAATATTGTCTTACTGGGCAACGATACCCAAGCCATGCAATTCGCACTCAATTAGTAGGCAATTAGTGTCCGTAGGTATGGCATGTGCTTTGCACTCTCGAAGTGCAAAGTACTTTTACAAGATTGACAAAACCCTGAACCTGCACTCACCCCGGGTAGCGGACAGATAAAATTAATGAAGCTATTCGTGTATCTGGGTAGCTTCGTAAGTGCTGTTTGTAGCGTGAGTGATGAGATCGATTCATGTATAGTGAAAGCCATAGCGGCTTATGCCAATCGAGTCCATCTTTGGTGCCTTTATGATGTTAGTCTGGTTGTAAAATGTCGGATCTACAACGCGTCGGTGAGAGCAGTTTTGCTGTGCGACGATAATTTGATCGGTGTCACTATCTTAGAAAAGCGGAAGTAGTCAGTGTATGACATGGTGTCGTTGTATGAAAGAGTGCTGTATAGGACTGGCTACTGTTGGTCCTTCATGACTGCCTGTTTGAGGTCCTAGAGATGGAAAAATATAGTGACTGGAAACGTTATCAGATATGGCTCAGAATAGAAGCCAGTGGCGATCCTGTTGTAACTTTATTTTATTTTCTTCATAAAAAATGGACGTAACTTCTTTAACTGGAACAATTCTTTCTGGTTGTGCCTTTGCTAACTGAACTGTCCCATTGTTATTGTTATTATTACTTCATTATCACACACTAATTTCTGTTCGTTATTGCTCCCCTTTGTCTTATACGCACCTTACATTCTTTTCTTTTCACATTCTCATTGTTATTGTGTGGTGCATATGCATTTGGTAACCCCCTGTACCAACATTTATATGTTCAAATAAATAAACAAAATGATAAGAACATCCATTATTCTTAATGGCCATGTTTTACACTCAGAAAGTAGGATGGATCGGACTGTTGTGCAGTAAACTCGCAATTTGGTCGACAGACGGATATCTTCCTTATGCCGCAAGCGACGCAATTTGAGAAAAGCCAATCGATCTTTCTGAATCCGTGTCGAGATTACGTCGGAAACCAGACCATCAGGACTGATAAGACCAACAACATAAGTAAAGCAGTAGACACGCTCAACTACATTACTCTCTGTCATTAATTTAGGTGCTGACCCAGGTCAGTCATGAAGCAACATTTTGCATTGGAAGGGAAAGAATCTCATCCCAAATATGCTTCCGTTGTTAATTAAGGTGGCCAGAAGACTTTGGGTTTTGCCAGCATCATTGATAAACAGAACTATATCATCTGCACATTTTAAGTCAACAAGTGAATCTTCTGGTAGAAGATCAATCCCTGGAAATTCAGACGATGAAAGTGTTATTTGTAGAACCATGTCTTTGACAAAGTTAATTAGAAGTAAGAAAATCAGACAACTCTAACGAACACTAATTTAAGTTATCGATTCCGATAACAGTTTCCCATAGGCTCTGACTCGACCAATAGTGTTTAAATCAAGAGCCCGTACAAAGTTAATGTACTTCTTTGGTATATCTTTCAGTGAGATACCGAAACAGAACCTCACAATCAGCAGAGCCGAAAGTCGCCTTAAGGTCAAGGAATGCAACTGTTGTCGGACGTCGAAAGTATAGCTGTTTCAGAACATCCTGGATGATGAATATTTGGTCTATAACTAACCGGGTTTTCACAGGTTTACTCGTTACAAGCTCTAGTTAGACGTCAAAGTATTATTGAGGCTGATATTTTAGACGTTATGTTAGTCAAATTGATTTATGTGATTTTCACTTTCTATAGACTGAAGCGATCAGTGGTCGAGACCAGTCAGATGGGATTACATCCAGTCCCCAGATTCTAGCTCAGATCTTAGTCAATACAACTGCCAAAAATAGATCACAGTCCTTGAAAATCCCAGGAGTTAATCTATCAGGCCCTGCTTCCCTTCCTCGCTTTAGAATGCTGAAAGTCTTTTCAACTCTAGAGTACAACAATTAAGGTTTCCTGATATATTTCTGTCCCTTACATACAAAGACAATAAATGAATGTCGTGTTGACTAGATGTACATGAACATCTGTAAAAATTGCTTCCAATGAGATAATCCGAGTTGGTAGAAGAGAATTCAAAGCACGAGAACAATCTAAAATATGTTTTACCATCAAATTAAGGCGAAATATAACAATTCATAACGCTTAGTTATACTTGACAAATGCCATTACAGATGATACCACATAAATTTGTCATAATTTCTTTACTTCTATGTTGCAACGAAAACTGTCAGTTGACTAAATTCACAGATTAACTACAATGAGTTCCTGAAAACCTACCGGATTTGAACGTGATCCTGAACCATCAATCCAGCCAGTATGGAACATAAGAATACCAGTAATCAACCGAGCAAGAAAGCTACAAAAAAAATCAGCCAATACATTTTACAAATTACTATTACAACACAGCATAGCGTGTATATATGTGAAAGCTCGCGCAATCCTCAACAAACAAAACAGGTCTATTGTATTTTGACTTGTCGAACTTATGGCTACCAAACGAATAGGAACAACTCTACCTGCGACTACAGGAATGTGACGATATGGTTTATTTTTCATGATGACGCATTCGAACAGCACTACTTAGAGCGCTTGCCTATTGACTTCCTATCATGATGTGATCACGTGGTGTATTCAGATTCCTCTATAAAAGTGATCAAGACAATGACTTTTAGCCAATAGTTACAGTAAGTGAATTTCTAGAATCCCATTAAAACACACTGGTGTGTTTACAAAGTTGGTAAGTCAGAACCAACGTAGGATCTAGCAAAAATGTGTGTCGGTTCAAGCCGAAACATAACATCGGTAAAGTTAAATGGACTTGACACGAAGAATATCAAAACTGGAATGATAGTATCAACAATGGTAAGAAAGTTTAAATATTGGAAAATATGGTTCAAAAAAATTTATTGGAAGCAGATTCAAAGTCGATAATTATAGTATATTTATCTTCAAAGATGGTACGATAATCGCCTTATCACAAGACTATTGAATACCCAGACTGCCAAATCATCCAAAGCAACTCAAACAAACTCCTAACCAGAAATTCACTTTTATTCTTCAAACTAACCTGAAATGTCTGTTGAATCTAAATGCCTGAGCAACTTCGAGATTCTTACGGATCTTTACCTCTTTGGGTGGATTGGCAGTCACTAACCAAAGCAATGTGGTGGTAAGTGATGCAAATTTACATCAATCCGTTTAGGATGGATGTTTTAACCTCTAAAACACAAGATATGTGGCGCGTACTAGTGTATAGTCAGAGTTAAGAAAAGAGCTTGTTAATGTGTTTATGTACTCTACCGGGAAGGGTTACAATCGGAAACACTGTGAACACTCCCGGTGGAATGCTATTTGCCATCCTATCGATAACGTTTCAGTTTCCCATAAGGTCTTCTACATAACCTCTAAATGTTAATAAAAAGGACGAAGTGACATTTTTGGTGTTCTGAACTAGTTGTTGAAGCTTCAATCCTAGCACCTTTTATTTATTAGTATAAAAATACAAAACAAGAGAACTCAATGCTGTGGATGTTTATTAACCAATCTTGGATATTACAATCAAGTTGGTTAACTGAAATCAGTAACTACGTATACGTTAGTATCCTACGCCTTGAGTAGCACTCATTTTGTGAAGACTAGAGGTAGCATCTGCGTTCCTAAACGAAGACTAACTGAACCAAAACTATACTTTGAACCAGAAAATGAACATTCACGACCTTATCAGACCAATAAATCTGCAATAAACATCTTATGGAAATTTAGGGACAAGTTGAACACTTGGTCGGCCAGTCATGTTCAGTGTACGACTGGGCAGGAGTTAGAATTACAACGCCAAGGGTAATGCAAAGAACTAAGTATGAGAATGATCCAAAACGAGAATGAAATAAGGAAATAAATGTTTTCAGATACGGACCTGAAGAACACGTGCATATAGCACTATTATGAACTGAATGCCGATCGATTGAATAGCACTGGCTAAGTATGGAGAAACTAAACTGCAGTTTGTTGCCTGAATATATATTGTGTGGAGTGTTAACGACTACAGAGTAAAACGAAAAACTCCTATTGAAGGCTTTAACTTCATAAAAAAAACCTAAAGGTCGCATTAAAGGACAACAAATAGATTAGCAACTGTATCCTGATAAGCACCCAATTGCAGACATGACTAAATTTGGGTATTAAAAGTTACACTGTGATGTGAAAACCAGTGAAAAAGATTCAGCAACTTCAAAAGACGTCATAATTTTACTAATCAATAAAAGAGTATCCTGATTTCGACTCCTAGTTATTCCCATTTATGACGAAGGACAGAAGTCATGTCACAACTGCGGAGGAATCAAATTGACTTATTTTTTAGAACTAATGTTCTACAATCATTTGACGTCTATGGCATTGAAGCGAACTTGGGAAAAAACAGACTTTTTTGCCAGTAAGGAACTTGTTGACCGGACATTTCGCCTCGGGTTCTGGAACACAAATACAGACGTCAGATCCACGCCATAATTTTTACCATCTAAAGGCGACATATCGCTCCATCGATCCGGAAGCTTTGTAGCAGTCTCGCTGAAATAGATTCTCCAGTAAAGACTTTTTACTCAAAAGTGACACATTACTAAGAGCTACCACTTGAATCAACTCTTATAGTGTTCTCTATGTTTGTATATGCCTATAATTAATTTTCAATCTTGCCATATGCATGCTTCAATTAAACGTAAACCACTCTGCCAACAGGAGTAGTCGATTTCCGGTTCGTATATAATGCAGTCCCGTTGAATATACGGTAAAAATGTTTTTAACTCGGTGAGTGCTTGGATTGAGTATATGGAATGAAAAACGACTAGACCATACCTACTGGACTTTTAAATAATCTGAAGTAAGGACGCTTTTGGCTAGCATATACTGATTAAATCATGGTGAGCGAAATTCGCCAAGACTAATCTAACAGAATATAATCAGAAATATATACGAATTTATGATTCAAAAAATACGCTGAACTGAGTAACATTTTTACGTGAATAAGGTGAGTATATTTCATGACTCTTCTTTACTAGCAAATATAAAGATTCATGAAAAAAGTTCCCAACCATAGCGCATCACGAAGTAGTTGAACTACCTAAGTAGACAGATGGCGAAACTTTACATAATTCACATAGTGACCCACAAGAATCTCGAAATTTGTTGCTTAGTAGGAAGAAGTCAAAAGAACAGTTTAGCTGGCCTGCAGCTACTCGACAACTACCCACTTCTTTTTTCCTGCAGTCTTTCTTTTACATATTACCACCACTGAATTAGCTACTACGAATTCGGTGTCCACCTTGTGCTAATGATATGGCAACTTAGAACGATGTATATATGTGCCTGGTCCTACGTTGTAGCTGATTGAAAAGTTAGAACAAGTTGACATTAGTGATATTGTAGAAACTGAAAGAAAACCAATAGGACTTACTACAATGTTACAACTACGCTTTCTCAACAATAAGTTCAATTGATTATAAATATCCCTGGAATAATTCTTGTCACAAGTACTTATGTAAAGAAATAAACCAGCCATACAGAGACGTAAAATATTCTTAAATGACAGCACATCAATATGAATTGCTTCCTAACATAAAACACTACTAAAAAACATAAAACCGGTAACAGGAATACAAGTGACAAAACGCAAAGGAAAATTACCCGACAGACACTTGGTAAGTAAGGCGTGAATACTCATTCCAGTGCTTTTTATTCACCTAAAATCGAATGCTTCTAAGAGAATGATAAACCTGAGGTACTGTTTATAGCTTTGTCCAGTAGTGGTTCGATAAAAAAGTGTGTATCAGTCACCCTTTTAACGTTAGGGTGTGAATAACTAGCTAACTAAACAATCCCTACATGCTGTATGATCTAAAATCCAAAAGAAAAACTGAAATCATAACTACGTATTGTACGGATAAACTAGACGGCTACAAACACTTTTATAATGCAGCTTAAGCGTTAAAGGTGTATCATGTAAAGCTCACTTACCTACGATGTTCTTTACTATTACCTTTAATAATTAAAGGTGCCAGACAGGATCTCACAAACACATCGAGTAGACTATCTTTGGAAACCTGGTTAGAATCGGCAATCATTGACTGAGAATAACTAGGGTCCATATTAAGCCAATAAGCAACACAATCAGCTCGCGATCGATCAGAGCAGGGTGATAATGAATCAAAATCGGTAGATAATGTGACATTTAACGTAGGCCAAATCGGAAAATATAATTTGGGCAGACACAGATCTCGGAAATAATTCAGAAAGTTGCTGAAAGCTTTTGCAATGGTTTCTGTACAGTGTGACTCTGGAACAAGTTTGTGCGTGCCCCAATAGCTCTTAGCACTGCTGCATACGGCTATTGCACATTCATTCGACAATGTCTCTATTATTAGGCTCAGCTGAACCCAGTGTTCAAAGAGCATATTGTAAAAACGTCTCGCAGTAAAGGCCGATATTTTCAAGCTAGTATCCGCGGACGACTGTGGAACTAGTTGGTTGTGATGGGAAACATCAGTGTTGAATAGATGATAGAAATTCCGACGGCTATGTGACTTTTGTGAACATGCTTTGTTGGGACACAACCCACTAATAGGTGAACACCACTCCAAATTGATAAGTAGGCAAACTGCCAAGGTTTTGTAACTTTTTAAGTTCTGTTTCTTTACCTATGGGAAAATAAATTTAGTAAGTTGTCATACCAACTCAGGATTTCCAACACACGTATCCTGCTTTATCCCCTGGTTGTGTTCGCTTTTCGGATACAGCTTTCGCCTGAAAAGTATTTGCTTCAGAATTTTTTCGTACTTACCACTCGTCAAACTCATGAAAAACTCGAGTAAACAGAACCTGCCCAATGGAACTACAAGTTATTATTAGTTAGGGGTCGAACTCACCTCATATCATGAATTTTCATTGAATGCAAGAGCGGTTTTCTGTTATTCAATGAATAAGACCCAAACGCCATATCACTAAGATTCAACTGTTGACGACCAACATTAATGGTTGGAGTGGGTTTCACAGGATCCTGAGAGTAAAATTATAATTTTTGGCACACCTTTAGCGCTGAAGAATCAAATATGACACTTGAGTCTTCATTTTTTAAGACAAACAACCGGACTGCTTTTTTTCTGAATAATTTACTCAATTGCCTTAAATGTCGGTCAGAGCAAACTGAACTACAAACCCAACATGGACATCATTGACGTCAACTGCCTTAAGAAAGTCGTCAAACTCCCGGTCGTCGATTGCTTTTCCAATACCGAAGGCCTTTTTTAGGAGGGCAAACGACATCAAACCGTACGTCTGTGGAGCCTTAACGAAGGTTACGGTAATAAGAGCACCCCAAGGTCACCATAAGGTATCCAATATCCAATGTCGTTTTGATGAACTTTTATAGGCCGATCGAGTTCTTTACGTCCGTTTGTTGGCGAGTTGTTTCCTTCAGTGGTCAGATGTAAGGATAGGAAGTCGATTCCCAGCACCATCTTTGAAATTTGTAATACTGCGGAAATCCAAGCACATTTTGAATTTATAAGCCGATGCTCATAATACGTTCTTTGATAAACTCCCGGATACTAGTTCTTCCATGCAAAAAACCAAACTCTAAATGTAGTCAATTTGATTTCGTGTTTCTAAGCTCTCGAAATGTCCTCTCAGATGTCGATGTCTTCATAATCCAGTCGACCTTCACAAGAAAGGGGAAGGGGAAGAGTAAGCAGTCTTGTCTGACTCCGGTCCTCACTTGGAATACACTTGTCAGCTGTCCTCCATGCATAACTTTGTACTGTAGTCCATCGTATGAGTTCCGTATGATATTGACGATCTTCTCAGGCACACCATAGTATCGAGGAAGTTTCAATAATGTTCTCCTATCCACACTGTCATACCACTTTTCATAGTCAAGGAAGTTGATGTATAGTGACGAGTCCCATTCGACTGATTGTTCAACGATGATACTTTGTATCGCGATTTGGCATGTGCACGACCGGTCTTTACGGAATCCAGACTGTTGATCTCGAAGTTGGGCGTCTATGGGTCTTTCATCCAGTTCAGAAACACTCTGTAAAAAGCTTTTCTCGGTATTGACAATAGTGTGATATCTCTGTAGTTCTCACATTTTCTCACATCTCCTTTCTTGAGTATCCTGATGAGGTGTTGACGTACATTTATTTGCAAATCTGTTAACATTCTCGTTCCGTCTTTCCAGTCCATGTCGTCCCATGATATCTTCATATCCGTGAAGCCCCGTTTACTCTTATTATTTTAATCCATTTTCTAGGGTCACTTACTAAGTTTCCAGATCTTTAGATAATCCCGAAAATTTTAGGACTTATGTTATGACTTATGGCGACTTTCCAATATAACGTGACAAAAAATACCAATCAAAATCGATAGAGCATCAATAACCTTAAGCCAAGTGCTAAGTTTTCACTGGCTCAAAAATCTCCGGCTTCACTCTCTGTTGTGCTTGTTTAGCTCAGAACACAGTAATCAGCTTTCACCTTGCGAATATTATATTTCAGAAACAAGTATATTATGTGTATACGTGATCAACCACATCATACCATAAAGTGAAGGGTAGCAAGTATACATGATCAAGCCGAAATTGGTTATGAATTGTAGAGGTTGTGAGCAATTAAATGGCAACAGATTAAGTGTAGTAAATCATGCGACAGTAGTTAGTGGGTTAATCAAAAGCTCACGATAAAAGGAATATAAATATATATCACAATCTAGTTAATAGTTGTCCAATGAGAATGTGTGCAATAATAGCCTATAAAATAATCCTGGCAGTTACCATTCCTTTAGTCTTCATCGGAAATAACAAGTATACAGTAAGTCACTATCAAACCACCACATAAGTAGATTGGAGCGTCTCACCCTGTTTTCATAAGTTAAGTCAATAGTACCTTGTACCATTTTAGTGCCCCGCCGTTGAACTCTAAGCATATCCGCTTCATATTTTAAACCAATATTCTCCGTTTGAATTTTGTATTCCAAGTGCGGTCTCACAAAGACTAGGTATAGTACCCTTAACTTTACCTCATCGAGCTGACGAAACGAGTTCTGAATAGTCCATGAGACCCCAAAGCTTTGGGCAGCGGCAATCTTATATTTACTCGTAGTCACAAGGTCGACTCAGGCTATGACTCCTAGATTTTTATAATCCATCACTTTGTGTAATTACATTTTGTTTGTTCTGTACTTATGTAAACTGTTAAAATTATTTATATGCACTACTGCACTCTTGCTAGAATTGATTTTCAGTGAGGCCCATAATTTTGTCGTCATTTGGACTGAACGATGTTGTCGAAAGGGCTCTCCACTTTAGTGGCCCGTGGATCGGACTCCAATTAGATCGTATGAATGTTTGATATCGAAATAAGTATGTCGTCTATCCTCGTCTATAATCATCGACTTAAATCGCGTTAGTCAATAACGGAATTAAATAAGTCAAATAACGAAAATGGACTTTTCAAAGAAGCCAATTCGGTGAGTCTATAGTTTATCTATCCACGTCTGTCGTATATTTTCATATTAATTTTTAATATATAATATACACGACATGACGGATAGCGACAAGAATTCTATTAATGTTATAGACTCAGACGTACAGGCCATTCACTTTCGACCTGTATCATTCATCCCCCACGACCCAGAGGTTTGGTTTGCTGCATTAGAGTCCCAGTTTGAGACTCGTCGCACTACGAGCCAAAGGCAAAAGTACGCCTTCGCTCTCGAATCATTACCCGGGGACCACTTAGTAGCTGTTCGTGAGGTTGTCCTCAATTATAACGTGCCTAATGTTTAGGATCGCCTCAAAGAGGCAATTCTCCGACATTTCCTCCCATCGAGGGAGGAACGATTGAGGACATTGTTAGCACGTCAACCCCTGGGTGATGCTAAACCAAGCCACCACCTCACGCGCCTGCAATCTCTTGCAGGACCAACAGCATCTGACTCGGAGATAGTTAAAGAATTATGGCTCGAGTCACTACCAGCTCATATCCAACCTACTGTGACGGCACTGCTCGAGGACTCACCGCTTAACCAGGTAGCCCTCATAGCAGACAAAATTTTAGCGAGGACTATTAATAGAGACAGCTATGTAGTTGCTTCAACGGCACGTCCTAAAGTAGACTTGGACGCCGGTCATTCCTCAGCTCATGGCGACAGGGACGGGTGTATTCACACACGTCTTAGTTTTCGAGACCGTTGTAACGTACCCCAACCCTACGCCCCCCGAGCTCGCTCAAGTTCTCGCAAACGCGTCACCACTCGACCAAAAAGGGCATCTTCCAAGCCACGCCGAAAGGCAGCTACGGAAGCGAGTGACAGTTGGTGCTGGTTCCATAGGTCCTTCGGGTCTGGCGCCTGCCGTTGTCGAGCACCATACTCATACAAGGCGGGAAACGCCAGCGCCGGCGAGTAAAAGCGGCCGTACTCGCCGGCCCTTCACCCCAGGTTGGTCGCCTATTCTATGTGCACGATTACCGCACAAACGCTAGGTTCCTAGTAGACACTGGGGCCCAAGTTTCTGTCGTACCACGAGGTAGCAGCAAGTCACAAGCCACAGTGCTTCGACTACGCGCTGCGAATGGCTCAGTCATTCCTACCTATGGTACACGACAACTCGCGGTCAACCTGGGCGACCGACGACGGTATCTGTGGACGTTCATCATTGCTGATGTTCCCACAGCTATACTAGGTATCGATTTTCTACAGCACTATGAATTGCTTGTCGATTCACGTAGGCTGCAGCTAATCGATACTTCGTCGAATCCTCGGCACTTTTTACTCGCGTGACGATAAATTCCACGCTTTATTCGAGAAATTCCCCGTAATCACTAAACCACTCGAGGAGCTTCCATCGGTGACCAATCGTGTGGTACACCACATAGTCACCCGCGGACCGCCAGTCACGGCACGACCTCGCCGACTGGCACCGGACAAATTAGCTTTTGCTAAGCGTGAGTTTGACAATTTACTAGCTACTGGTATTATTCGTCCTTCTCACAGTCCATGGGCCTCTCCTCTACACATGGTGCGCAAAAAAGATGGGGTTAGTTGGAGACCATGCGGCGACTACCGAGCTCTAAACGTAGTTACGCGCTTTGATAGCTACCCCATCCCCCACATACACGACATCACGGCATCGCTCAAGGGCACGACTATCTTTTCTAAGATCGATCTGGTACGAGCATATCATCAGATCCCAGTCGCTCTTGAAGACATCGAAAAGACTGCTATCACGACTCCTTTCGGTTTGTTTGAGTTCCTACGAATGCCATTTGGATTACGGAATGCTGCTCAAACTTTTCAAAGGTTTATCGATAGCATTGTACGAGACCTCGATTTTGTTCACGTCTATATTGATGACCTGCTAATCGCATCATCAAACGTAGATGAACATTATCAACATCTTACGCTATTATTCCAACGCCTTTCGGATAATGGAATAGTAGTTAACCCAGACAAATGCGAGTTAGGTAAACGAGAAATCATATTTCTGGGTCATGTTATCAAGCAAGAGGGTATTCTACCTTGTGAGGACAAAGTGCAAGCAATAAAGGAGTACAACGTGCCGTCCTCACTCAAGGAACTGAAGGCTTTTCTCGGTTTGGTTAACTTCTACCGTCGTTTCATCCCACACGCGGCAGAACGGTTACGACCACTAACCGACTTACTACGCGGCAACCCACGCAGATTGGAAATGAACGATTCTGCACGTACTGCATTCACTGAAATCAAAACGGCTCTTGCGCAAGCCACTCTTCTCGCCCATCCCGATCCATCAGCCACGCTTAGTATAGCGGTTGATGCATCCGATGTTGCTATAGGAGCAGTCATGCAACAAAACATCTCCGGTAGTTGGCAACCTCTCGAGTTTTTCTCACGACGCCTTACTACCACGGAGACGAGATATAGCGCTTTTGGTCGCGAGCTGCTAGCAGCCTACTGCGCCATCAAACATTTTCGGCACGCAGTAGAAGGACGTCAATTCATTTTATTCACCGACCATAAGCCCTTAACGTATGCTTTGCATACCAAGTCTGACCGCTACTCACCACGAGAGTGCAGACATTTGGACTATATCTCCCAGTTCACGACAGACCTTCGTCACATCCAAGGCAAGTCGAACTGTGTTGCCGATGCTCTATCACGAATCCAAATGAATGCAGTTACTCTGCCGGTGCTCGATCTTCCTGCTATGGCCGCTGCCCAAGCAAACGATCCCAGTTGTCCCTCGACTGTCACGACTGACCGAGGACAACAATTCGAGTCCGCACTATTCTCCTCACTTACTCGGCGGCTTGGTACGGAACACATACGCACTACCGCCTACCATTCAGCTTCAAACGGTTTAGTTGAAAGGTTTCACCGTCAACTTAAAAGTGCTCTTCGAGCACACGAAAACGACGACTGGTACGAAACCTTACCGCTCGTTCTTTTAGGTATCAGAACGAGTTTAAAGGCAGATATCCAATGTTCCGCCGCTGAACTTGTATACGG